AGGGATACAGGCTGGTGGGAGGATGAAAATATTAACAGGTCCGCAAAGTACAAATGAAGTCGGTACGCCATTGTTGTGAACACGAGAGGCGCGAACGCAGATGTTGTGTCTGCGATACCCGATGCCAATCGCATCCGCGGATCGTTGGCACAGGTGGTATACCCGATCGCGCGCAGAGCATGGGCACAGAGTGCAATGACCGAAGTCGAAACATTTCACTTAGATCATTGTTTTATTTTTTTCGGCGCTCCGCTAAAAATGGAGAGTCCCCGGGTTTGATACCCGGACCAGGCGGATTTTTTCGGTCGCGCACCATTCACCTAGCTGTGTTTGGAGATTTGTGTTTGTTCTTTGTCCCTCTTGTTCGCCTTCTCCAGGGATTATTTTCGTCATTCTTGTCCAGTTCGCTTGCACCTTTGCATTTAAATGCTCAGCTGCGAGTTCTATTTCTGTGTTGTCTCTTGTAACGTGGAAGTAGTGCTGTGCATTAAGACGGACAAACCGAGATTTCGCTATTTGTTTCCTGGAAACAAGCATCCTCATTGGTTAAAAAAGAAATGAAATATAGCGAAAATTGAAGTCCTGCAATCAAAGCACTCGCTTATTGCCACGTGTAACATACGAATCTATGACGTGACGCGTGTACGAGCACGCGTCACGTCTACATAACTGTTTCATTTACATAGTTACCAGATTGAATCTTTTAATAGTCACTTCTTTCGCTTAAGAAATATTGTAGGCCCATGGCTACGCTATGAATGACCAAACGAATATTTCGCCTCGCGTGGCCGCTTGCAAACCACACTTTGACGATTGCTGGCGTGGCCGCTAGCAATCGTCGCCAAGCTACATATCCCTTTCGATATACTGCCCTCTATTGGCAGCCATGGGGTCCCTGCACAATGGCGGACTATACTTCGTTTCAGCTTCGGTCCGAGCGTGGCCGATGTTACGAGCCAAAGGGCCAATCAAACAGCGCAAAAAGCGCAGCGTCATGGCGTGCTCTCTGCGCTTTACAGAATTAGCCGGCAGAGGAGCACGCACAGAGAGACGGCGAATATCGGCTTGTCCTATCAACTGCAGAGAGCACACCATGACGTTGTGCCTCTTTCGCTGTTTGATTGGCCCTTCGGCTCATAACATCGGCCGCGCTCGGCCCGAAGCTGAAACGAAGTATTACACTTCAACGTCATGGCACAATTAAAAAAAAAAAAAACACAGAAAGAGGTGGGAAGCGCAGTGACGTTGCACTTTCAACGCTGTCTGATTGGCTGGACGGCTCGTAGTACGTTGGCCGCGCTCCGACGTTCGCTATCTTGTGGAATGACTTGCACTTTCCTCCATGCAGTTGTTCCGCCGTTGTGCAGTGGTCCGGATCTTCTAATACTCGGCACGTGAATTTCGAAAGGGGTCCTACCGCCCGTTATGAAAGTTACAGCCATTATGATCTATCCAAACTGAACCGGCTTAATGATGGGGTGATTTGCACGTATACCTGCAGCGAGATTTGCGGCGCCTAAAGGTCGTACTCGGAAACGTCTATACGCGAGCTCAGACGGTGCCGCAGCAGGTGACGCGAGTTAGATCAGCTCTAGCTGAGATTGCGACTCGTTTCGTTCAATTAAAACATGTTCCCACTGGGCGAACAAATAACCAACAAACGCTGCTGGCGGTCACGTCAGCAGTGTATTCACTTACATCGAGTAAGCAACCTTTGCACTCACCAACTTTTGCACACAAGGACGTAATTTTTGAACGATCGAGAGAAAAACATTAAGTTTGCTCGAGTTTTGAAAAACCGGACTCCGTTTTGTCGGTGCTTGACTTCGTCTTTTGCGCAGTAGTTCTACATCTTCAAATTATATCCCACTCTCGAGACCAGATGCAAATAGCATGATCAAAAACATCGGTCAAGAAATAACGTCGTCTATAGACATCTTTACAGTATTGATCCTAAGCTACAGTTTCGGACTCCACGAGGTTTACCAAGACCAACGGAGACCGTGCTATACCGCTTGCGGCTTAAGTTGCGTACACCAGCAGCTACCTTTATAAAGTCGGAAAAGCTCAGTCTGTTGAATGTGCATCGTGCGGCGGCGTCCATAACATCCAACACGTGGTCTGCGAATGCGAGGAGTACAGCCATGACAGGGAGTTAATGAAGAAACACCTCAACATCAAAGAGGAAGACCAAATAAGCATCGACATCGTGTTTGGTCCCTGGATGACATCTGACGGTTATAAGGCCACAGAAGCTCTCATGAAGTTTCTGAAGAATACTCGTTTACGGCACAGGCTGTAGTGTTCTAAAGTGAACTGAACTGGTAAATTACATTTTTCCATTGTAACACTCACATCTCGATTTATTTTTAATGTTTCCCTTGTATCATTTTTTATATTCCCTTATACTTTCTTTATATCAATTTTTTTCTTACCTTTCTCTACTCCATTCTATTATTTGTTATTCCGTTTATTACACAGTGTAGCAAACCAGCACAAGGCGCTGGACGAAATCAATGTTTTAATCAATCTCTCTTTACATCTTTAAATATATTTAAAAAGAAACGCCTCTCCCGAGCTTTTATTTTAACAAACATCGGTGTTTGGTCCTTCTGTGGCACTTGACTCTGCAACGACCGCATAGTCAGATTGAATGGCACTGTAACCATCAATGATGGGCTACCCAAACTCGACCGCAATCAATCCGTTTGTTTCGTTTCAAGATACATTCCTAATAACAATCTACCCATCGCGCCACCTCGCCTGATTGGCAGCCTTTAATGTAGGCAGCGCTTATCATTCGGGCGAAAAATGCTGAGTCACTGGGCTGTGTACGCATGCGCGGCGTCTGATATTCCGCAGAATTAAGCGAGCGACTGCGCTTGCTCAGAACGCGTCCTGCAAGCCCCAGTAGACGACAGTGTTGGCGAGTTCTTTAAGTACATTGTACTTAAAGTACTACTTCAAGTAGGTTTTGAAAAGATGTACTTTGCTTGAAGTAAATTATTTGAGTAGGCACTTGTACTTCAATAAACTATTTTTTTTTTTTTTTCTGGCACTTTCCGATGAAAGTACAACTTCAGACTTCACAAATACATTCCGAAATTTGGTCTCACGAAATGATGCGTTGTCAACTCTGAGGAAATTTTGAAAGGGATACTCTTCGCGGTTCTACTCTCACCAGCATTTCAAACTGTCGCTAGGTTAGCACAAGAGAGAAATTACAAATATTCGGAGAGTACACTCTCTCCTCAAGAGGATTGCTTGCGGGAGCTACGGGGCCGGCGTGCGAGCGGCGCCGAATTCAGAAGTCGGAGGGACCTTCTGAATTTGGCGCCATTCCCGAAAATAATTGACCCGAGCGCGTCGACACGTCAGCTCCAAAACTGTTTGTCGGCACGACTACGCGTGCCACGTGCGGTTTCAAACTTTGGCCAAATGTCTTACTACAAATATAGCTTCACCAAATAAAGCGCAACACGAGAAACGGGCTTTGCCGCGCGTCACCCGAACAGCGCTCGAAGCAAGCTGACGTGCGAAGAGATCCAAGATCTGCGCGGTCTGTCCCAGTCTGTCCTACGTGTGACGTCACAAACGATGATGATGATGATGATGATACCTAGAGAAGCGCCCCTGTAGCTCGCACACGCCGCCAATAGAGGTCAGACGGGACGGCACAAAGTTCCGATGATCGATCCAACGATGCCAGCGACCATAGCCTTGCAGCGACAATACCGTACTCGCACTTCGAAAGGCTTCGACTGCCAAACGCCGGCGTTTAGCGTTCCGCGTTCGAAGAGCGAGCAGAGACAAAGGCAGTTATAGTAAGTTACAGGCTGAGAAAAGTTTTTGAGGATAAAGGAAGATTGAGCGGGAGGAAGCAGACGGAATGCTGGAGAGAGGATGAGGTTTCTTTCTCTCCTCTACAGTGATCCGTTTGCTTGCTCCTCCCCAGCTCTCTTTTCCCTCGAATACTTTTCTTAATCGTTCCAGCAAAGTAAAGTATTTGGTTCCAGTCAGAGCTCGGCGCAAGGGACACCTACGCTGAGCCTGAAGCACGAAACAAACTGTGGCGTCCTCATTTTGAGTAGTACAAGCTCACCTAACTGGGCATTGCACTACTCACGGCACCTCCGCAGAGCTTTCTTTTTTTTTTTTTTATATATATATATATTTTTGCATAGCGCCGAAGAGCAGAAAAAAACACCTTTCGACGTCTGAAATCGGCTAGATTCAACGTCGCAAGACAATGGAAAGTGCCTGATTCATGCCATCACCGCTAGGGTACGCGTCTCTTCTCTCTGCGTGGTGACGCCAAAACAGCTGCAGCGTCCCGACGTCCTTTTTTCTTTTGTTTGGAACGCGTGAAACGGCTGTTGGGTTGGCTTTTGGCTCACGCTCTCAGCGTCTCGGCTTAGACCTGTGCTTCGACGGCGTTCGAATTTTTGTCGTTTCTTTGTATTTTCCTCGTGATCTCGAGTTCCGCACCAGAACAGGCATGCACGCTTCTACGTGTGTGGCAGTTCTCGACGCTCCAGCTTGTACCACCCAAAGGAAGTCCTGACGAGTCCCACTTCGCAGCGCCCCCTGGGGCAACTCAGGAGGCCTGTGGGCCAACGCCTAGCCGAAATATGAAAGCCCAAAGACCCAAGTGCCGAATTCTCCGGCGTCAGTAACGAAGGCCATCGTAGGCCACCGATCGGGTATGGATACGGCGTCAGCGCTCGACTAGGAGTCGTGTTCTCCCTGATTGGACACGACTCCTAGCCGAATGCTGACGTCGCGTTCTATCTTTGGCCTACTTTGGCCTTCGTTAGTAAAGCAGAAAAAATTCGGCACTTCTAGGCTTTCATATCTAGGAGGTGTTGCACAGGCACCCCGTTTTGACACGCCAGCGAGCTTATCGCAGATTAAACAAAACGGCGCAAACGGAGGACACGATCGTATGTAGAAAACACCGTGCACCGACTCGCCTAACCGTGGCGCATTTGTAAACTTACCTCGATCTTTCGCTGATAGCCTTCTGTGCGCAGTCGACCACGGCGAAACTTTTCCACCGATGTCACAAAAACAAAGTCGCACCACCAAAACAGGCCTGTCGCTGACGATCGAGTGACTCAGCATTAATTACTTTTTTGAGAGTCCCAGATAGCCGACGCTCACCGCACAAGCCACGCCAAAGACAACCGGCGGATCGGCTGCACGTTTTCGCTGTAAAACGAAGTATTTCACGAGAACGCCACGCAGCAGCACTACACACCGGGAGGGAAAAGTTTCTAAAATAAAAAGAGTTTCGGCTTTCTTGTCGGTTGGGCTGCTGGTCTAGAATAAAATCACTTGACTATCGACGCGGCAAACGTGAAATCGCTCCGGTACGGCCGATCTCCTGGGAGCCTGTGGGAAGCGTGGGATCCGACGGCAGACGAGCTACGGTGCGAGCTTCCGTCGAATCGGTGGATTGAATAGTCATACAAAAGAAAGACCGAAGAAAAAAAAAAGAAGGATTCAAAGCGACTGGCTCAAAGGCTGCCCCCCTCCCCTCGCGTCTGGATAACCAACCTCCTCGCTCTCGAACGGGGGCACCTCCTTTCCACTTTCCAGCAGCCGACTGATGGCGTGATGCTTTTGTTGAGGGACCGTCTGGGGGAGGTTGGGTTGGCGGGTAGGAGTGGCTTGTGTTTGTTTCGTAAACTTTTTTTTTTTCGTCGATTTATAACTTTATTGCAACTCGGATCATTGTACTTTAGCAAACGTGCGTGATTTCTCGCTTCCTGTGAACAGTTGGGGAGAGATCTGTCGCCCGCTGTGTGCGGTGTGGCGGTGGTGCGATGCTCGGAAGGTTTCTTTTTTTGACGAATCACGCCTAGATCGAAAAAGTGATGTTACGTGTTTGTTTTTTTTTTTTTCCTCGACGAACTATGAATTTGGAATTTCGGGCGCGGGCTTTTATTTCGTTGAAAAAAGACAGCCATGCGCTGCGAGCAAGTGTTCTAAAATACGTCTTTGGCACATCGGAACGCAAAGAGAGCCCCGCCGATCGAAAAGCAGCATGAATAACGCGTGATGACGAAGCATCCAAGCTCGCTGCGTCGTTGGTTGAGGCCGGGGGGACAACGAATGGCACCCGGGCAACAACTCCTAGATAACAAAGCAGTATAGTGCCGATAGAGATGTCGTCATCAGCGAAGGCAAACGCTGATCACCAATTGGACACGACGATTGCGTCAACCTTCGGCTCAAACTTCACTCGAAACCTGACGCAGCACTCCTTTCCAATCTGTGTCCGGCGTTGACCTTCGCTGGTGGCATAGAAATGTCACCCTCCGAAGTTTGCGAAACATAACTCCGAAAACAACCCAATTTCGATGCCTGCCTTGGCCGCAAAGTTCAACGAAAAGAAGCCCAATTTGGCTGTAAATGGCGCAATCTGGCAACTCTGGCCGTCCCTATACCCTGTTCACCCTAGGATGCCTTCATGTCCGCTTTGTTTAGGATGGAAACATCTGACCATTTCGTCCCACGCGTTTATTTTTTTTTTTTTTTTGTGTTCAGAAGCGCGTGAAAGAGCGTGTCCCTGCACGTATTTGTGGCGCTTACTGTGCTATGGCGACATTTGATTTTCACCGATTTCTTTGTATTTTATTCGTGAACGCACACCAGCTCGGAGCACGTGGAGCGAAAGCTCGCGTTGCAGAACCCATGATGCTGGGTTCAATCCCCGCCCTGGCCCGTTTCGATCTAGATGAGCATCGTACCGGCGTGCGGTCGTGCATCGCTACTGCGTGGTGCACGTTAAAGACCCCAAGCTACCGGTTGTACTGCACTGGCTAAATTGCTCATCTACAGCGGGGAGACTCGTCGCCCGTTGAGGCAGACCAAGTTCTAGGCTGTATAAACATACACACAACCCAATTTTATTATTATTATTTTTTTTTACCACCGAGATAGTTCGGACGATTGACATCTCATCCCGTGTGGCGTCATCGTCGCGAGAGTCCAGTTGCCACGCTCCAGTCTCAATGAGCGTCTCGTGCCTCACTGTAGATGCGACACTTAGCAAGTGCCATAGCCTCCTATATACTGACAAAGCCTGGAGGATCGCCACGAGAAGCGGCCGCCGAAATGGAAAAGGTGGAGAGCCAGACAACGAATGAGAGGAGAGCCACGTAACTGGCGGCCCGCTGCGGCGAAACGCCGAAACACACTTCTGCCGAGCGAACAAGTGTGTTTCGGGTCCTCGCCGCTGCAAAAGCTGTGCGCTGACGTCCACGTTCCCCGAGAAAAGGCTGTTGGATGTTCTGTGCTACCAGATCCTCCCGCTTCAAATCTGCTGCCGGGCACTCGACTCCGTCGTCGAACTGCCAAGCTATGCAAGTGCAATACGACTGCTAGCGTCGTCGCGGCGCTCGTCTGGTTTGTATACTATCACCGACTGAACGAATCCCACACAGTGAATCCGCCATGAACCTGCGCTTTTCTCTCTACGTGATTGCTCACCTTTGACACTGTTTGATCGGATCAAACGGATTGTAGTGCCAGCTGCGGTCGGACTTGGTCGGGAACAGTCTCGTAGCGGGCGTCTCGGTTATGTATGTAATATCTTTATTATCTCTGAAAAAATACACGTGTAAGCGTGCTGGCCCACGAAAGCAAAGATAGAGAAAGCAAAGGTTCGGGCGCATCGTCCGGGTTTAATCGCAAAGTGGAGAGCTCTTCGATATGCACCTTTCACGCGTCTGAACAGTGCTGAACGTATACATGGTTGGGAATATCTAACGCGTGTCTATTTATGGAGTCGGTGTGCTGAGATCAGCTGCGTATACAAGGAGCGGCAGGGTATACGGACGGCGAAAAACATGGCGGGGGCCCTGCAAGCCAGCGTCGCTCACTTACTGGAACTAATATGTCGTATAGTAGCTCAATATATCGGGCGCGTTAATCGGCAGTGAATGGTGCGGGAGGCTTCTGCTCCGCCTTACCTTACTTAAATTGCAAAACGTAAGCAATAATCTCGCCCTATTTTTTTTTTTTTTTAAGATAGTTTTTCGATTCTGGCCGTTTCAAAGCCTAAATGAACGCGATAAGTGTCGGCATGGCAACGTCCTTGGAAAGTGGATTGCCTTGACTCAATCGGCCGGGTATTGCTAAATTACCCAAGCACCGAGGTGCATGCTACGAGTATAGTTACACGCGTTGCACGTGCTGGCGTCGGCCGTAGTAACTGTTATAAAGCGAAAACCTAAGACAAATGTTATCTTCCACGCACATTCGTCAAAGCCTCACTAAGATTATTTACTTCGAATCTTTTTATACGGGGAAGGCGAGCACGCGCGGAGCGTAGGCTCGATGCTTGGGTAATTTAGTAATAGGTCTAGTTTCACTGGAACCAAATTACACGGCTTTTGAATCTATGAACGTTTTATATACAGTTCTTCTTACATGCTAGCCAACCATGCTGCCGGTGTACCGCCAGCCTTTCACTGCTCACTTCTTCCTCATCGCCTCATCGTTTCTAGGACTGAACTTCGTCGTCCGCTTTCGAACCCCGAAGGAAATTTCAACGAGGCTGTCTTCACTTCAGGCAGCCAAACAAAGAACAATTTTCAAAACAAGGATTAATTAATTTTTACGTTACCCATACAACGAGCAACCCCCAAAAAAAAGGTGTTTCTTCAGTTCAGATGTATTCCGCATAGAGTTATTATAATGTACGCTGGAGGTTCAAGTGGCGCTAGTGTGCTGACGCAAATTGAAGCAGACAGCAACCAGTCCTAAACTGACTTCCGGTAATGCATTCCTATGCGAAAAAGTGAGTGGATTTTCTCTCTGCGCTCGATCATAAGAGCAAATATCACGAATAATTCGTACGTACTAGGTAGGTTGGAACATTTCTCAGCCAGGCCGACGAGATAATTGGTCAGTTACGGCGGTTTTCTTTCAAATTCATCGCATTAAAAACTGTGCTAAAACGGCTTCGTACATGTATTTATGTGCACTGTCGGACACTGTTAGCGCGAACACGACGTTGGAGCTTTTCTGCATGAGGGATACACGTGCCAAACGAATGAAGAACATCTGGAAATTAAGGGAGACGGCAAGAACTACGCAGTAACACTGGATCAGTAACTACTTGTGCATGTACGATCAAAATAAATTGAAGGCCACGTAATCTATTCCAATTTTAAATAAGTAAGTACCCTTTATTCTTTCTGCTCTGAGCGAAGATGTTTGTTTTACGTTCAAAATATCACCCGCACGCTCAAAATCTTTGAGCCCAAGTGCCCGATAAAAGCTGCCCGGCAGAGAAAACAATACGAAGAGACACCTTTTAAAGCCCACGGACTTTATTCTCTGCGGTTTGAATGTTTTTATCCGCTAATGCACGACGGTTCATTTTCATATAGTGACAGGACTGGCATATTATCAATATATAAGCGTCACCGGAATGCTGGTGAACCTTGAACACACTCTATATTCCATTCGATTGCAATTTTGCTTTGAACCGTCGCTCGTTTTTACACACCAGCTGCGGAACACACGTTTTGGACTGAAATGTAGCGAAGTTAAGCATCGTTCACCGATGAAGAAAAATGCGCTAACTAAAGCGATTACACTTTTACAGTGTTAATTAAGGTACATACTATTCGGTACGACCCAAATAACCAAAGTGTTCCGTGTTATTTTTCGCCGAAGAGGCAAAATGCACGCGCGTTTTCCCGTAGGAATACACAGGAGCACCGCAAAAGTAGACTGGTTGCTGTCTGCTTCAATTTGCGTCACGGAAGTCGCATAGACACTAGCGCCAGTTGAACCTCTAGCGTACATTATAATAACTCTATGGTATTCCGCACTGGGTCGTGAAAACCCGGCAGCGCGCGTTTTGGTATCCTCCCTTTTCGGGAACTTTTCCACGAAAGTCGCCAGAACCAGTAGGTGACACCGACTACCACCCCATAATAAAACACTACACCACTGTATACAGACACGGATGTGTTTTTACGGTACACATACGCGCACCTGGGCCCGGATGAGCTCACTCATGCGTGCCCAGGTGCGCTTATGTGTACCGGTTCTTTCGTGTTCAATTGCTCCTTTTGCCTAGGTTCGCTTCATGGTTGCTCGTTTTACTACTTTACGTTTTCCACGTCTCACCTTCTTCGTTCATAGGCTGAAATATTTTCCATCACCTTAAAAAGAGTTTACTCTAAAGCTAGAATCGGTTACTTACCGGTTAAGAGCTAAGTGAAAGCTTTCCGGCCTTTCTTGCCTTTGGCAGAGCGAGCGCTTGAGATTGGGCGACCTCCTCTCCAGGGTTCGCCCTGCTAAAGGGGAAAGAGGTGGGAGGAGGCTATACTTTACTTTTAACCTTATCGAAAAAAAAAATATGTTTGTTTCGAAACAAAGAAAAATCTTTAATTATAAGCATATGCCATATTTGTAGTTATTAAGAAATACATGAAAAACTTCTTTCGAACTTCTGGTCAATATATGTAACCAGAGATTGTATTTCACAGTGTTGTCTCGTTTGTTACGTCGGAAGAGAGAGTATACGACTAGAATTTATTAATGTTGATCGCCCCTCATTTTTATACCGCAAGATAATTCCTAGTCTGATAAGCGCAGTCTTGGGTAGTAACGCGTTACTAGTAACGTGTTACTGTAACTTCGTTACTTTTTTGGTAACTTGTAACTGTAATAAGTTTAAAGAAAAATGTAACTTGTAACTGTTTTTCTATTACTTCTAAGGTAATGATGAAAGTAACGACGTTACTTTAGCGTTACTCTCTAGTTTTTTGTTAACGATATATCATTGAACGAGTACGACTAGCTATTCTTTGCACTTTCCAAACTGTCTGTTCCGACAGTTCGAGTGTCAAGTTGGCCTTGCACAGACTTGTGAATACGTTCCTTCTCAGGAGTCACGACTTAAATATAGCCATGTGTAAATGTGATGAAAAAAAGTGTAGATATCTTAAAGGCCCGTTCACACATGCAGCGGAGCGCTACAAGCATAGCGCTAACCTCGCGCTAAGCGCGTGCTGATGGGAGCGTTCACCAGCTTTGTATCGTACCGTCAAAACTGTTGCTCATGGCATACGATAAGTATAGCTGACGGCACGTGAGGAGCGCTACATCAGCGCTTCGCTGCATGTGAGAACCGGCCTTTACGCACGCACTTGTAGGTTGTGACTGAACACTTACACATTAGTATCTTGAAACACTGTCTATGTTGCGGTTTTTATTTTTTTTTTTTTTTGCGCGAAGGCTTTTTGATCGGGTGAATCAACCGCGAATCAACAATATACACGGAGGGCACTGCGCACATTTCATATTTTGATTAGCGCCACTACTCCGCAATGCTCATGATTCGTATATTGATTTGCGCCACTACTCCGGCGTGCTGTCACGTTCAACCATCGAGGCAAAATTGACTGCTGTTTGCGCAGGGTTTGTTTCTGGCTCGCCGGGTGCAAACTGAATTATGTCCAGTGACTATGAACGGAGCGCAACCGTCAACGAGCCAGCAATGTGCTAGTATGGTGCCTGGATCGCGTCTTTGACTGGTGTGTTTAGCGCCCTATTCCGCCCATACATCAAAAGTGGTCCCGATGTGGCAACAAATGACGCGAGTGTCATGCTGTTGCCTGTCGCGATCCTGGCGGTTGGCCGTAGAAATGCTGGCGAAAAGCACGAGCGAACGCGAGTGTCGCTGTCGTCACGGCGTCCCTTTAGACGTCCCAAATCCGGCTGCTAGAGCTACCGTGAACTGTCACAGTGGAAAGCGACCTGCAGCAGAACAGGCATCTGCTACATACACCACAGCTGTTGGGACGCCGCCAGGGTCGCGACCGGCGACAACATGACACTTCTATGACGTCATCAGGCGGAAATCGAGGGACCACTTTTTTGGCCGCGGTAAACACACCAGTCGGAGACGCGTTCCAGGCACCATAGTGCTAGTGCTAGCAAGGATAGGGCATCTGTATTGGGTCCGCGTTTGCCACCGTGCAATTCCTTCCAGTTGAGCGCCCGTACAGCAAGGGCAGGGACGTGTTCGCCATCAAACGAGAGAAACTTTCAGACACTAATTTCGAGAAGCAACTGCTGCTAAGTTACAATATGAAGTAAAAAGCGCACTTTTTAGTTTTCCGTATAAAACTTGGTGAAAGGAGTTTTCTAGTTTTTCCTTTTTTTTTTTGTTATAGAAAAGTAACTGAAAACTAACGTCCTTACTTTTTGAAAATAACTGTAACGAGTTACTCTTTCGTTGCGGTAACTGTAACGGTAACTTCGCTACTTTTTTCTTAAAGTAACTAACTGTAACGAATTACGTTTTTCTTAAAGTAACTTACCCAAGACTGGACAGGCGTTCGCATCGCAAAGAGAAAGCGTTTACTTTCGCCGACGATTCTTCGACATAATGGAAAAGTTTCTGTGCTGGCAGGTTCTTCTTCAGTCTACTATATATTTACAATTGACATGCATTGCGGCACCACAGTATTGATACCGTGACTGATATTTTCCGACGTTGCTCTTTGCTTTACTTCATTTGTTTTTAAATAGATTATGCATTCTTCAATGATTCTATAATAAGTCATGTTGAACATAGAGTCCCAGAAACTCTGTCGGGCACCGGGCATACCATACCTGCCCCTATGCAAAAAAAAAAAAAAAAAGAAAAAACAAATTAAATACAGAAAAGAAATTTCCTTCTTGTGCCTTGACCCCCTCCCTCTCTCCCAGATCCCTAAAAATTCAAACTCCGATGAGCCCAATGACGATGCATTTTCAACGCTGCTTGATTGGCTCTTTCAGCTCCTACACGTCAGCTGCGTTCGGACTGCAGGTGAAACCAAGTATAGAGTCCCCGGGAAACCCAGAAATTCAACCCAAGCCTCCTCTTCAAACGCGCGCGACAACTTCGTCCCCACGTGTGCAGTCCATTAACAAAGAAGTCTCGTTGAAACCCCCAAGGAATATTCTTTCATCGGTCAACGAGTAGTCCAGTGCCACTAAGTAGGCTAAGCTTCAGAGTAGTGAGAATTGGCCATATCGTGTCTTGAAATCATGGTTGCCAGTTATCTGAAGCTTTATCTGAAATCACAGGAAACGCTTTTCCGTCCTCCACAAATGTTTCAACAGTTCGCGACAGAGTAAAGCAATATTCCAGGACCTTCCTGACACTGAATCTAATGTTGAGAAAGTCGCACTTTTGAATCATGACGATCGGCAGTTGCGTCTGCTCCGCACAGGCACCAAAATGGCGGCGGCCACGACAATGTCGGGGAGCAGAGTGTTTGTGATTGGTGGAGCTATAAAATTTCAGCCTTTCCACTTTAATAAAGTAGGAAGAGCAGCGTAGCTGTACTATGTACCGCAATCTGTGCGCAACAATGGCAACCCGACAACCGGCAAGCCGGTTGTCTGGTTGCCGCCGTCGCTCATAGATGGCGGTAGCTGACCAGAGGGTTGCGTCCAGATTTATTTGTCCACGGACACGATCCTGGGGAAACTAGCCCTTAACAGCTGCGCTGTAAAAAGAGCTTTCAGCCTTTCCACTCTGGAGAAGGAGGAAGACCAGCGGAGCTGTATACAACGGAAAGTAATGGCTTTTCCGCACGTCGGCAAGCCAGAGTGGAAAGGCTGCCGCCATCTATGAGCGACGGTGGCAACCGGATAAGTGACTTGCCGCCGTCGCTCATAGATGGCGGTAGGTGTCCAAAGTTCGGCGTCTTCATTTCTTTGCGGAGGACACGATCCTGGGGAAACTAGCTAGCCCTTAACAGCTCCGCTGTAAAAGGCGCTCCACACCCAAGAAAATGTTCCCCTATGATCAATTTGTTTGCAATACAAATTTATTTTTCGTTCCTTTTTTCGTTCTGGTTCCCGTGAAGAGCATCTCCCGTCACGAGCTCATGGCATTTGACAGTGCTAGCGCGGCATTTTGTTTCTAGTTATTCACTTCTATGTTTTCTGTCGGCGTGTGGCTGCAAAAAGTCACGTAAACCCTTCTTCGCGACCCAACAACAGTTGGCATCCCCGTGTACCTCTGGCCGATCGCACTTGAGTCAACTGTCGTTTGCTCAATGGCGGTTAGAGCACCCGAGTAACAAAAGGTATAGTCTTATACCCATACACGCAGTTCTAACACACACACACACACACACACACAAAACGACAGAGCAAGAAAACGACCGTAAACAGTTTTGAACATGAGTGATTAATCTAATTTGCCTACAACACACTGCACCTGTTACGCATGGACGTGCGAGTTACTTTTATAATGAAAGTTCGTGTCGCCTCGACACGTCCAGCGCGAGAAGACACGAATCGCCGTCATAGGCAAGTGACTGTCCGAGGGAACGCTCGGAGAAACAAAACAATGAACTGTGCTGCTGACATCCAAGCAAGCTGCAAACATAAGGCACTGTCATACGCACATGCGGAGACCGCTCCAACAACAATAACAAAATAACGTCTGGGTAAACCATTATCACCGGCAACAGTACCTTCCGGACAATATAAAATAATGCCCAAACACAATGAACCGCTAGGGAAAAAAAAACGATTAATCATATTACACATTAACTAACAAACAAAGAGGAGTAAATACCTCAGGTCGCATAATGCCCCGTGGAATAAATAGAGATAACACAGACGACAAAAACAAGCAAATTACTCGTGTCTAATTATTTAAAATCATTATTCTTTAACTTGCGATGCACCGCAACGGAGGTCACCAGTCATGTTAGCCTATCTAGCGCTTCGCGCCTGCCACGTGACGTAACGCTCAGGGCGTCACTCCACCCAGCCGGAAGGTCACATGACGCGTTACGGGCCATGGAGGGACTAGTCGTTGCGGTACATGGTATGATGCATCGAAGTGCAGATGCTTGTAAGCATGCCATGCATCAGAAAAGCGTGTCCGCCAACCGTGAATGGAAATATTCTGTATGGGCGGTAGTCTGGCAACCCTGGGCACGCCTTAGCAGGACTTGACTATAAGGCCGGCAGCAAGATGGCGGCACCCAGACACTGTCCTTGCAAACGTATGTATAGCCGTCTACTGAAACGCAGACTGTCATGCGGCAGCAGCATGTCCCATGACTGCCCATTTTTACGCCTGTTGGACTAACCGCTGGAATCTTAGTGTCCCCCAATGAACATGACCGCGAAGTTCTATATGACGACATACGAAATTTGCTAGCACCGGCATTATATATAAGGCACACGTACGGTTCTGATCGACCAACGAAACCATTCTAACGCAAGCTTCTGGCTGACCTGGCTGATATCAAGCACCAGCCAGGACAACATCATTGAATAACGGCCGACAGTACATTCGGGAAACATTGTTTAAAAAAAAACAACTGAAGTCTGAGACGAAATCCTGAGGTAGGGTCTTGAAATAGGGACCCGAACGAGAGGGCTGAAACAGGGCGGTGCTGCGAAAAATCTGCCTCAAGGTCATAGGTCCTGGGACAGAGCGCTGGGATCCTGAAATGTCGGGGGACAAGGTCTTGAAATAGTTTCGGTCCTAACATGTCCTGGGACAAGGTCCCCAGAAAAAGTTTCACGGCACTATTTTGAGAACAGTTCTTTGGAGAAAGTTGACGCAGGGCAATATATGAAACAACAACAACATTCTACAACAAAAATCCAAGCACGACAAGCGCCCGAAAACAAACAAGCAGAAGAATCCTGCAAACTATGAACGCTCATAAGGCTCGTGCGAGGCTGAGGAACGTGGCACAGTCCTCCTGCTCCCGAGTCTGGCAGACGATAATCTGAGAGGCTTGCTGAAGCGGAACCCCGAGGCTCACGCTTCGAGTTCCTTGGGTACACGATGCACCTTATAGTCCCCGATGCATCATACGGCCAACGCCAGAATTGTTCCTTATGACACTGACGAATCATGACACCGTCACTGCGACACCCACGGGCGAAGCTTGAAAAGTCAGTAGGCACTTTTGAGGGGAGTATCACTACAGGTGACTAGACCACCGACTGTTGTAGCAGGGCATCAGCCTCCGGGATTCCGTTGGCCATGGCATGGCTGCCGTTTCGATGCGAGTCGCCGTTGCCCTTGGCACCCATGTAGCCGGTACCGTTGATGTAGACGGCCATTTTGTCCGGAACGACTTTACTGTTCGGGTCCGAGACCACGCGTCGGCGGGAATGGCGGGCCCTGTGCGATGCGGGAAAGGAAACACACGCGCGCTCAGATTAACTGATCCCTTGTATAGGCAGTTTCAAGCTCAAAAGTGTGTAGAATCAATGGATGGCTTCTACTGATAGCAGGCATTGTGGTGGCCTTGCTGCTGTGGGCGTAACGTTTGGCACCATCGAATTTGGTCTGTTTTTTCTTGGCATAGACCAAGCAGTAATGACCACCAGCATTGGTGCAACGACGTCACGTGCAAGCCATGCATTTAAACTAAGGATATACAGGTCTTTTATTTTTTTAATACACAGATTTTAACTCTGGGGTCATGGGGTGACAAATAGCGATTTTCGTTTTAACTCTGGGGTCATGGGGTGACAAATAGCGATTTTCGTTTTAACTCTGGGGTCATGGGGTGACAAATAGCGATTTTCGTTATCATTCTGCCGTGCTGAATTACTGGCACTATACTTCGTTTCAGCTTCGGTCCGAGCGCGGCCGATGTTATGAGCTGACGGGCCAATGAAACAGCGCAAAAAGCACAGCGTCATGGCGTGCTCTCTGCGTTTGATAGGACTAGCCGGCGGAGGAGCGCGCACAGAGAGACGGCGAATACCGGCTAGTCCTATCAACTGCAGAGAGCACGCCATGACTTTGCGCCTCTTTCGCTGTTTGATTGGCCCTTCGGCTCATAACACCGGCCGCGCTCGGACCGAAGCTGAAACGAAGTATAGGTTCTTCCTTTCAGTCTCTGCGACCATGAGCTGGTTGACGTCACATCTTTCATTAAGGTGCGAGAAAAACAAAAAAGACACCGCAAAACTTTCGTGGGAAGTGAAAGACTGCAAAGCTAGTGGAGGGACTGTCTTTTTTTATACATGTGGGAAAAGGAAACGGCACGGCGCCATCAATGTGCAATAGAAGAAAGTTGGCAGGTGTTTGGGTTTCGACCGACACACTTCAATCGGGTCTGGACACCGCATTAAAACGCAATAAACAAAAAGAAAACGTTTTTTTTAGTGCTTATAAATAGATGACATATGTTGCAAAGTGAACCTGCGCGGGGAAAAAATTGTTAGTGCTATAAGAGACCGTTTTCAAAAGTCAGTCTACCCCCCCCCCCCCCCCCCCCCCCCTGTGCAGAGCCAAACCCACCACCCTAATCGCGGCGCTACACAGCTTCTCCACACCACAAAAAGCAAACGTCTCTGAAAGCAGAAAGGGAAAGGTGATGGTCCTTTTACGTAACTTTCGATTCACGAAATCGAGGGTGTCTGATTTAGCTGAGCACGATGACCGCCATTAGAGCGGTAATATTGGAGCTTTTGGAACTGCCCCAAGGTACCTCTGGCTTTTGAAAATAATATATTACGCCGCGAGACTCATTTAAAAAAAAATTATAATATGCTTCTATTTCGGGATCAACGCCTATAGGCAGATTTTGCAATCGTTTTTACCCCAAAATCGGTCTCGCAACGTAAATGATGATGTTAATATTCCCGCGAAGTTTTCATTTTGCAACATGAGTATTCTGTCCAATTGCACATGCCATTTTTTAAACTTCATGTTCTTTTTCTGGCAGCTCACACATACACGTTAAAAATCACATGCTGTGTTGCGCATGGCGAATTTGCCGGCCGGATATGACGTCTTCAACTACTTCTGAGGTGACTTTGAATCAATGCTTAAAGATGGCAGCACTGGTGCTACCGCCGCATACGTACTTGACTAAGAAGTAGCTGGATATGACGAGAACGATGGACGACGCGATCAGGACAAAGATGGCGGTGCAGCGGATGACGGTGGGCATCAGGGCGGCCAAGCGAACCATGCTCATGATGTGGGGTTTGGCGTCTGCGCGCTGGAACCAATGAACAGTTGAAGTGTTGCATTGCACACGCCGCAAGAACGAACCCCAAAGTTGACAAAACTGAGACGCACCATTTCTTGCCAAAAAAGCGGGACAATACGATGTTCTCCAGAGTGCGTACTGAAAAAAAAGGCATGACTTAGACATTTTTTCAGAGGCAATAAAAGTACGATAGAGCTTGATGTTTCTTTTTTTATTTTAACAATTAGCTTTTTTCTTGTGGAATGATATGCAACGTGGAAATATGGTACGTGATCTGACCTTCATGACGTCCGGTCACGAGACTTCCGTTCTCCCCTAAATTTAGCGGAGATTTTGACGTCACGTGACGTTTTGAAATCAGTAATAGAACGGCTCGACACCTTGACGTCAATTTGCCCCTTAAGAAATTTACGTCACGCGTCATGACGTCACGTTCCTATTGAAAATCCGTCTGTGGGGCCCACCAGGCTTTCTGAAAGGTCTTGAGGTACCATTCAATTTGTTTTGAGAGGTTTGAGATGTATGTCGAAGTTTTCTAAAAGGCCTTGCGTACCCTTTAAGAATTTCTAAAGGGTGCTAGAGGTCCGTCATATGTTTTAAAGGCCTTTGGGGTCTGTGGCTATCTTTTCCAGGAAAGCAGTGACCCATAAAAATAGTTTTAACCTGCCTGCGGAAGAGATCAAGGGACCCTTCAGGATTTATGTGTCGGAGAAGCCGCTTGCCATTTTGTATTAAACGCCTGCAACGGACGGTCGCTCAGCGTCGACTTGCCATCCCACGCGTGAATCTATCTCCTAAAGCTGCTCAATGTGCGGATGGTCTCTCAGTGCTTTTTTCTCGCCAATATTGGTTCATCCTGCTTCAGAAGCTCGTCCAGCGAGCGAAAAAGACGCCAGGGACGCTATCGCCACGGCACCATGGGACGACACAGTGATTTCGTACACGGCGGAGAATGGTAACCCGCGTTCGTGGTTCTCGCTAAACATGTTACAATGCGTATGTTTCTGTGTGGTGCACTCGCTCGATTTTAAGAGTTAAACTGCCATAAACCTCAGGAATATACCCAGCGGCACTGAGTACCTCAAATGATATTTTTCGCGACGAAAGACTCAGTTGCTGCTATTTGGTCTGATCGCTTGTGTCTAGAGATTTTTACGCCCAGGTTTGTTCTTATCGTCTTTTTGAGTTTGAGCATGCATGTAAAACTCAATGTATAAAATAAACTTTTAAACAACTCAATATTTGATCTATGGTTGACAGTAATTTGGACGTCTAAAGGATTGAAAGGCTGAGGTCTGAAAGGCTGAAGGGTGTGAAGTGCTGAGGGGGTCTGAAGGGTTGCAGGGGTTTGAAAGGCTAAGGGTCTCTAACAGGTCAGGGCTGAAAGGTTATCAGTAGGGATGGCCTGAAATTACATGACGTCCGGTCAGGTGAGGTACGTATACGCGATAACGAAGTATCATGGAAACCATAGTCATAAAAACCGACTGCATAAAACGAACCACCTAAACTTGACACCCCGCTTAGGCTGTGCTGTTCACCTCCAGCATGAGAGGGAGACCAAAGAAAGGTTTAAAACCGGAAGAAAAGGTGTAAACGGCGTTGCTTACCCAGTACCGGGAATCCCGTCAAGGATGACGTTCATCTGCATACGAGCCCTGGCGGACACGGACACGCCGCTGGTCTGCCAAACAGACGTTCCACAGTGAGGTCACGTGACACCGAAAGTACAGGAACATAGCAGTCACGAGAATACGCGGAAGGCTATACACCTTTTGATCGCTTATCAATTCGGCAAAAATTGCCGAGTCACTGGGCTATGGACGCGCGCGCGTCGTCCAATATTCCACGGGAGGGAGCTACTCCGTACGCGTAACGCTAACCTAATCTGCAGCAGGGTAAATGAAAAATGTCACGTTTTTTTTAAATTAAGTAAAAAAAGATTTATTTGGTTTAAATCAGGTTTATTTACTTTACATACATCGCATTTATTTGGTTTAAATCAGATTTATTTGAATTATATAAAATTTATTTGATTTAAATCAGGTTTATATGACATATCATATTTACTTGATTTAAATCAGAATAATTTGGTTGAAATAGCCGTAGGTGGGAAATAGTCATTTTAGCACTATATGTATTATTCAACATGGCAGAGTGATTGATCAATTCGTTGAATCAGAAATAAAGCGAAAAAAATTATTACTGCGAATGTAATGTACCAAATAATCAGCAAACTTTCTATATCCGTGTTCACCGCCATACAAGGACAAAAACCGCGTTGTTTGTTTAATTAGTTATAACGGATTATTTAATTTCTTTTTCGAGTTCTCACTTGATTGCAGTATGGCATAATCCAGAGTCTTTCATATTGAGAGAGTTTGACCATCTTAAGGAGATTTTTACAGCCTGGCAACTGGGCTGTAAAAATGGGTCCTCCGGTACGCACTGCGCATGCGCTACCGCAGAAGAATCGCACATGCGCAATGCGTACCGGAGGGCCCATCGTACCGTATCGGATGTCCAAAAACGGTTCCCTAAAACTCTCTAGTGTCTGCAGACTTTCTTTTGGACGACGTATAAAGCGCCGTTGACCGCGGCTTCGAGATTTGTTCGGATAACGATACCCGATATAACAGAGAGTTTTAGTAGATCGTTCCCATGACTCCGATAACGATATCCCGATACTCCGCCACTGCCTCCCTTGCGCATGCATACTATCGTTATCGGGGCTATCGGAGGTATCGGAACGATCTACTAAAACTCTCTAATGTTGCGACGCGTGCGCAAAGGTGCCAGCGGAGCATCGCAGCTATCGCTGTTCGAGTTATCCTAACGGCCTACTACAGCTCTGTATAATCCATGGCGGATGAGTAAGATAACTCGACATCCGCGATGTGGCGACTACATTGCTGGAAATGTCCAGACTGTGAACGCAACTTGCATATTATGTTTTTTTTAATTTATCATAACGGCTGCACTTAAAGTCTGCGGTCGTTCCGTTTACATTTACAACTACATAAGCATGGTTTTTATGACAAAAAGAAAATCGAAATCCAAGCCGTATAATAAGCATTAAGGAAAAAAAATGCTGGCTGGCCGACAGCATCGCTGCTCTCCAGACTAACAAAAGGGGGGAAGGGGGTTGTTGTGCCTGCGTGTGCGGTGAAAGATAGGCGCGTTGAACATAGCTTAACACGCACGCCACACGCACACATTGAATTACAGAGGGTGCGCGTAACCATGTTCAGTGACAAATTGGGGGGGGGGGGGGGGGGGGCGGGGGGGGCGTTACGTGCCAATTACCAAGACGAAGCGTAGATGGATGCGCCCTAGCAGAGAACTATAAGGGTTACTTTCTCAACCATCCGGGGATCTTTTTGACGTGCAACCGAAATCTCGGGTTACAGGGCGCCTTCTCTTGCAATGGGCATCCGTCAGATGGCGGGCATATCGGGCGGCTAGGTGGCATAAGCTACCGCCTGATCCAAAGGGCTCAGCTGCATTCATCTATGCGTGCATCCATACATTATGCAAACGAGGGGGACTGAACGCGAACTCACGGGTTCGCTGTCAACGTAGAGCAGGTGCTTGTCTTCGTCGGGTGTGAGGCCCTCGACGCCGAATTCCGACTGGTTGCCGTAGAGAAAGTGAGGTAGTGAGACCGCGACGGGAGCACCTGGAAGAGCAAAGAATGGCCATTTGAGTTGAGACTTAAATTTCGCAGTCTCAATCATAGTCGCTGCCAGGATGAGAACGACAAGGAGGAGTTTCATTCGTGCACCTGCAGGGCGAGCTTCCTATTAGCGCCGAGATGTTTCGGAGGCGCCCTCTTATGGTTTCCCTCCGTGACGTCACGACTGAGATTTGCCTTGCCGTGACGTCACCAGTTGTTATTCTGGCTACTTACCATCGGGTCCGACGACGAGTTCGATGGTGTGTTTAAAAAGCACAGTAGAAGCTAGGAGCCATCGCAATCCGAAACTAACACCGTCAAAGTTGACAATCTGACAGTGCTCACATGCCCATGGTTTGACCAATCGTGGAAAGCTGACCACATCGACGCTTTTGGCCGCGCACATCGCTAATACCTGCGCGAGATAAAGCCCCTCGACGTGTTTGCATTTGTCTTGCAAGTATAGCGTCAAAATGCGCCAGTGCACGAGGCCCATGTCTCGCGAGCGGCCCTTGCTAACGAATGGCGGCGCAGCACTGAAATGAACAGCCCTTGGAAGCGAATGGCGGCGGAGCACCCGCTCGTGTGCACGTGTCTTGCGCGTTTCCACAACAATGGTTGGCGCTACTTGTAAAAAAAAAAAAACACCTTTATCAAGAGGCCTTACCGCGAGAACGCTTTGGCGTCACGAGGGCCACGAGTGTGCACGCCCGACCGAAGCACGGCGGAAGTCAATCGCACGTGCTGAAGGCCGGGCGTTCGAAAGAGACACCCTGCATGCTGTTCTCATCCTGGCAGGGACTACAGCGTAGGTGCGCAACTTAATACGTTGACCCGTGATTAGCGTGAAAGTTGCAGACGGTTCGGCAGACAAGCTCAGGAAAGTACACATTAGATTCGCGTGCCTCTGTGGTTATAAATGTGAGGCATTGTCTCGAGTTACAAACAGTAAAACTCTTGTGTACTTTCCAGTTTGGTTAAAGAAGTCCCTCTAAACTATAAATACGACAACCATAAGTCGTATTTATGCGACTGATCTTTAAAAAAAGTGAAGAAGATGTTCTCGAACGTTTGTAAACATGAGGTTTACGCTGCCATCTCAATATCAACATACACCGTTTCTGAAATGTGAATTTGAGAGCCCAGTTGCTGCAGTTGCACCGGATTTTCGTGCCCCAGCGATTGACGCTGCTCATTATGAAGAGCAAAGTGCCCCCCCCCCCCCCCCCGCCCCCCCGTTTTTTTTTTTCCTGTTTTTGGGCTAGCACAAAGGCACTCCGACGAGCCTGACCCGGCGCCTCTCTGTCGCTTCAGAGTTGGGAAGATGTGCAAACTTTTGGGGGCTTTTAGGTATGCAGGTCCCCTGAAGTGGTAATTGGAGGCCTTGTCCGTGACTGGTCCGGTCACGAGACAAAGGAATTGATGGGTCGAGTTGTCCTTGGGAGAGAGAAGAGGCTTGATTTTTTAAGAAAGGAACGGGGGAAAAATTTGGAGACTTGGGCCGAGACTCTGGACGAGTAAGGATGGTCTCCCAAGTTGGGACTTGTAATTTGGAGTTTGACGGTGTAAATAAATGTACATAGTTGACTACAAGCAGGGAATCGACCCGTCACGCAGCGACGTCCATGCCACCACGCTCCAGACCACCGGAGCTGAAGCTGCCTCCCACACCCCCGGGAGGACCAACAACTTAACTCCATTAAATACGATTATTCTACAATTAGCTCTATGTGACGAATACTAGGGTCAGTATGTACCTTTGGCGACGGGTCCCATGTCGGCGGCACCGTCCGGCAGCGTCCTTTTGTTGTAGCAGGCGTTTTCGGGCCGCGTTTTTCCGCTGGCGAACACTTCGGGCGTCACAGCGAACCGTCGCGTGTGGACGCTGCCCACCTTGCTGTCGTGCACGTAGCGTAGCAGCACGGACCTGCGAAGGAAAAACAAATAAAAGAAAGATAATTTCAATATTGAAAAACCAATTGCGACTGAACTCAGAATCACTGTGGATTGAAATTGGTTCATAATGCTGTGGAACGTTTTCAGCAGGAATGAGCACTTCAGTCGAACTCCGATATGAAAACCTTTGATATGACAACCTCCGAGATGACAACCTCCGAGATGACAACCTCCGAGATGACAACCTCCGAGATGACAACCTCCGAGATGACAACCTCCGAGATGACAACCTCCGAGATGACAACCTCCGAGATGACAACCTCCGAGATGACAACCTCCGAGATGACAACCTCCGAGATGACAACCTCCGAGATGACAACCTCCGAGATGACAACCTCCGAGATGACAACCTCCGAGATGACAACCTCCGAGATGACAACCTTTGATATGACAACCTTTGATATGACAACCTTTGATATGACAACCTTTGATATGACAACCTTTGATATGACAACCTTTGATATGACAACCTTTGATATGACAACCTTTGATATGACAACCTTTGATATGACAACCTCCGAGATGACAACCTCCGAGATGACAACCTCCGAGATGACAACCTCCGAGATGACAACCTCCGAGATGACAACCTCCGAGATGACAACCTCCGAGATGACAACCTCCGAGATGACAACCTCCGAGATGACAACCTCCGAGATGACAACCTCCGAGATGACAACCTCCGAGATGACAACCTCCGAGATGACAACCTCCGAGATGACAACCTCCGAGATGACAACCTCCGAGATGACAACCTCCGAGATGACAACCTCCGAGATGACAACCTCCGAGATGACAACCTCCGAGATGACAACCTCCGAGATGACAACCTCCGAGATGACAACCTCCGAGATGACAACCTCCGAGATGACAACCTCCGAGATGACAACCTCCGAGATGACAACCTCCGAGATGACAACCTCCGAGATGACAACCTCCGAGATGACAACCTCCGAGATGACAACCTCCGAGATGACAACCTCCGAGATGACAACCTCCGGTATAAAGCACTTCGGTATAAAGCACTTCGGTATAAAGCACTTCGGTATAAAGCACTTCGCTATAAAGCACTTCGGTATAAAGCACTTCGGTATAAAGCACTTCGGTATAAAGCACTTCGGTATAAAGCACTTCGGTATAAAGCACTTCGGTATAAAGAACTTCGGTATAAAGAACTTCGGTATAAAAAACTTCGGTATAAAAAACTTCGGTATAAAAAACTTCGGTATAAAAAACCGGTATAAAAAACTTCGGTATAAAAAACTTCGGTATAAAAAACTTCGGTATAAAAAACTTCGGTATAAAAAACTTCGGTATAAAAAACTTCGGTATAAAAAACTTCGGTATAAAAAACTTCGGTATAAAAAACTTCGGTATAAAAAACTTCGGTATAAAAAACTCCGGTATAAAAAACTCCGGTATAAAAAACTCCGGTATAAAAAACTTCGGTATAAAAAACTTCGGTATAAAAAACTTCGGTATAAAAAACTTCGGTATAAAAAACTTCGGCATAAAGAACTTCGGCATAAAGAACTTCGGCATAAAGAACTTCGGCATAAAGAACTTCGGCATAAAGAACTTCGGCATAAAGAACTTCGGCATAAAGAACTTCGGCATAAAGAACTTCGGCATAAAGAACTTCGGCATAAAGAACTTCGGCATAAAGAACTTCGGCATAAAGAACTTCGGCATAAAGAACTTCGGCATAAAGAACTTCGGCATAAAGAACTTCGGCATAAAGAACTTCGGCATAAAGAACTTCGGCATAAAGAACTTCGGCATAAAGAACTTCGGCATAAAGAACTTCGGCATAAAGAACTTCGGCATAAAGAACTTCGGCATAAAGAACTTCGGCATAAAGAACTTCGGCATAAAGAACTTCGGCATAAAGAACTTCGGCATAAAGAACTTCGGCATAAAGAACTTCGGCATAAAGAACTTCGGCATAAAGAACTTCGGCATAAAGAACTTCGGCATAAAGAACTTCGGCATAAAGAACTTCGGCATAAAGAACTTCGGCATAAAGAACTTCGGCATAAAGAACTTCGGCATAAAGAACTTCGGCATAAAGAACTTCGGCATAAAGGACTTCGGCATAAAGAACTTCGGCATAAAGAACTTCGGCATAAAGAACTTCGGCATAAAGAACTTCGGCATAAAGAACTTCGGCATAAAGAACTTCGGCATAAAGAACTTCGGTATAAAGAACTTCGGTATAAAGAACTTCGGTATAAAGAACTTCGGTATAAAGAACTTCGGTATAAAGAACTTCGGTATAAAGAACTTCGGTATAAAGAACTTCGGTATAAAGAACTTCGGTATAAAGAACTTCGGTATAAAGAACTTCGGTATAAAGAACTTCGGTATAAAGAACTTCGGTATAAAGAACTTCGGTATAAAGAACTTGGACATAATGCACTTCAGTATAACGAAACCCTCCATTTAACGTACTATATATTCATACTGTTGATGGTTTTGATTCTTTTGAAGAAGCTCGGACGACGTTTCGAATAACGACTTTTCTTTTTTCAGATAGTTTGATTTCAAAAATGAAACTGCTGGGGTAAACTTGTTACGCTACTAATTCGAGAGACGAACACGCTAAGATTCTTGAGATTTGCGTTCGCTCACATAAGCTATAATATCTGCACACTTGAAGGAGTCCGCGAAGCATCTATGTTCCATTCGACAGTCATCTCACGCTACCGCCTAAATGTGACGTCACGAATGTAAGGCGGTGGCGTCAGACTAACGTTCTACAAACAAGAAAACCGAACGTAATGTGCGGGGTGCCATAAAGCATACCTCTTAATGTCGGGAATGAACACCCTCTGCTCGTCTGTAGTCGCCATGGGAGGCCGAACGTTGCCGACTGTAAGCGGAAGAAACGAGACAGGAAATGAAAGAGGCAACCAACACCAAACAAACAAGCAACCAACTCGACGCAAGGCGGACACCGTCGCTTGGAATTATATTTGTGAGGTACACCCGGTCAGAGAGTTAACTCCACAACGAATGCGATCCCTTCTCTTTTCAGGGGCTCTATCTTAACCCGTGAAAGTTGCAGAACCTGATCTGGGCGAGGCATAAGAGTTTATTTAGAAACTAATTCGAAATGTTGGACGAGAAACTTTAGGGGTAAAGTAGTTAACTTCTCTCTTGACGGTGTACATTGTCTTCACGTATTTTGAATCGCAGCGATCAACTAAAAAGTGGCATCAAGGTTCGAATTAAATGTCTTACAAGCGCTGCTCAGCAGAAAGAAGGAAAACGTACACAAATCGACCAGGGAGCTGACGTCTCCACTGGCCCTTCTCATTCTGTCAGTGACCCTACGCCGTTCCAAAGTTTGTACATCCACAGCCCAGCGCGCGCCCTTCACAGCCCAGCACGCGCATTTGCGTCGCTTCGGAAAGCGAGCAAAACACGCGTCGTACGCTGGAAATTGCACCGCGCAGAAGCCCGTTCCTGGAATAACTTGTACGGCGTGCAAGTGTTCCAAAATGCGTCTTTGACGCATCGGAACGCAAGGAGACACCAGTCAAAGGGCGACAGAGAACGCGAAGGGAAACGCGAGATGACAAGGCATGCAGCCAAGCGCGCGGCATCATTAGCAGACGAATCTTGCAGCTCGTATAGTCTTTCTGCTCAACAATAGTTTCCCAACACGCTCAAGTAAGTAAGTACTCACAGGTTCCTCGGATAAGGTTGCATTCGTCACCGCCCCACATATCGAAGCGCCTGAAAAAAACAACAAAAAACAAACGTGCACGTTGTAAGTTACTTTTCTTTTCGCAGATAGAGGCTAATGCATTGCCAAGTGCGCGAACTCTCGTAAGCCTTACAAGCGCGCAGCCCAGCATGTCCCCACTTAGTCTCGACTGGTGATGAGCTGCGCTTAGATCTATCGGCACTCGATTCCCCGGATTCCTTGCGGGCGCGGCCATTTTGGTACGTAGTGCAGGGCGGGCGCCAATGACGGTCGTTACGGCTAAAAAATGCGGCATCCCTGAGCTTTAGTTGTGGCGTCAGTAAGCTCAGGCGATATCGTTTGGCTGTGTCGAACACTGTTTTAACATTCCTGGAGGACGGAAAACCGTTTCCTCCAATTTCCGTTAAAGCTTAGGATAACTGGCAACAACGATTTTAAGCGCGAAGTTTCTAGGCTAGGTGGCGCAAGCAACCGCCCGTTATAAAGGGTACATACAGCCTTTAGCATCCATCCATCCATCCACCCATCCGATGGTAGAATGGTCAGTGTTCCGAGACGCAGCTTACCTAGTGGGTGGTAGGCATTGGCACAATTGGGTGCGTAAGCATCGAGTATTATAGATCTATTTATGTACTTAAATATTTATTTATTTATTTGACGCACTCATTTAATGGGAATGGTAATAGATGAGGCTCCTCAAGCGTTCGGCGCATGGGTGACGCCGCCATAACTCGCCGGTCAGCGCGTGTGTTCCCCTGGGCACAATGACCTTGGACGCTCCGTGCTTAGGGGAGCAACGGCGCGCATAAAACCAACTCGGAATTTACAACATTCTCCGGTAATACATTCCATTCTCGCACCATGCAAAAAAAAAAAAAAAAAAAAAAAAAAAAAAAAAAAAAAAAATTTGAACGATTGTTATTGAACGAGATCTTGAGAACTTCGAGGAAACTCACGTTTTGCCGTTTACGAGATCGACTTGGTTGATCCGCGAGATGTTGCCTACCCCTGTGAACATCGACAGCACGCCGTGGAAGGTGTCGTTTTTCTGAAAAAAAAACACAATTCATCGGTCATTACGCGTTTACATTAGTGTGCTGCAAAACTGGCTGAGAAAAACTAAGAGGAGACACATGGCGTCCGTATAAGCGATAAGATGACAATATGCCGAAATTAACGAGGCAATTCAAATACAGTTAAGACGATGATGAGGTCCCATTACCGCGGTGTTCGCAGCGAACAAGTTCTAGCAAAACCTTATCTGTCAATCAGTGCGTGTCAAGGATTTGACAACGTATGCCATACACTATGAATCGAGTAATTGCGCTGCGTATTTGCTTAGCGTCTGCCCATTGTAAATGAGAACTTTTGCCAGTGCAGTACCACACTCCTAGCCGCGTTCATGGGCATCACAAAGTAGCGCTATGCGGCGCCAGTATACGTGCTCATTACTGGTCCAAACGGGCACGGGTGGGGACTGAACTAATACCAGATAAAAGAAAATGCCTTGTCTTCTCGATGGTAACGGTTGAACCCAGCATCCCTGGTGTTCAGGAGCGCGAGCCCTCGTTCCTCCTGCGCCAACACACTCAGCCCCTCGAAACCGAAGAGCATGATACACATAGCGGTGGCAATCAGTTCGTCGAATGACGCTTCGTCGACAGATCCGTTTCGTCGACGCTGCCACACTTCATCGAGCGGTTCCCGTCATCATTTCATGGACATGCGACGTTTCGTCAAAAGCGTCTTTCCGCACAGATTGCCTAGATCTCGCCGGCGTCAGGATGGCAGCTTAGCTTGCCAAACCCTTGGAGGTATCGATAAGGCCTGGTGCAAGCTTGAGCCTCAGATTGCACCCGGTTTTCCCCGAGCGGAGCGAAGCGAGGGGCAATCGCGCGTAGCACATTCGAGAGCCAGGGATTCTGAGCTCGCGAATTTGCTGTTGTCGTATCGCAGCCGCCTGGGCAGACTTGTACGTTTTTAATTAAAAGTAATCAAATTAGTTGTTATCGATTACTTTTTTTAGTAATTTTGTAATCATTTCAATATATTTACCAGAAGTAATCGCGAGAGTAATTTGATTACTTTAGGAACTACTAAAATTTACCTCTAACCGTTTCTTCCTTCTCTTTCTAATGACGCCCTCTGCTTTCACAAGTTGCTAGCAAATAATCCTGGGACCAAGCCTCCGAGGGGAGGGGGTTTATCAAAATTGATGCATTACGAATACAAGTAGCTTATAATTTGGTGATTTTAATTTGGAAACGTAAAGGTTACTTTTTTGTGTAACGATCAATTACTTTTTTTTTTGAGTAATCAAGGAATCTAAATGAATACCTTTCATCCAATCTATCCAATACATTAAAAAAAAACACGTTCTCGACGAAACATTGCAGGAGTATGTGTTCACGAAAAGCGTGTCGTTGAAAAGTTAGTTGTCCACCAAACGTGTTTCGAAGAAACGATGCGGACCCTATAAGTTGAAGGAACAAAACTACGGTCGTACCTCGGCAAAATAGGCGAACTTGCCGACTTTGCTCTCCGGCTGACTCTTGGCCTCGTCCGCGATGGTGCGGTGACCCTTGCGGACATTGTCAGCCATCTTGGGCTGCTGGCCAGTCCGCCCCGACTTGCCGCCTTTCGACGCCTCGGCCAGAATCATCAGCGCGCTGGGGTAGCCCTTGAAGCTGAGCTCGCGCACAGTCTTCGTGATCCAGAGCGACTGCCCCATGGCAGAGAGCATCCCCTTGGTGAAGAAGCGGGTGAGGGCGCTCTGCTTCTCCACCATAGGAGAAGCGGCCTGTGGAGATTCAACAGTGCCCCTCTGTCACGACCCACGACTCAAGTTTCCACCAACATTTACGAGCGCTAGAATTAGATCAGATTTTGTTTTTCCGTGTCTTAACACCTTTAAAGCACGAACGTCGTCACTGCATCGCGGTTTCTTAATTATTTGTTACCCCGCCAGCTAGCGTGTTTACTAAATAGGGAAACTGTAATGCGTGTCTTGCTCTTTTATAGGTTTGGTCTGACAAAGCCAACAAACAAGAAACATTGCCATCTGACATGCTAGCTGTCACACGAAAAAAAAAAAAAAGGAGTGTAGGACTTACATTCCTCGTCACATATACGACACTCTTAAACGTCAGTTGGGCGTACGGCGCACTGACCTTCAACCGAGGTACCAACTTTCACGAGCGGCTTGATAGCCGAGTTGCGCAACTTATTAAAATAGCTTAAGTGTAACCGACTGTAAAAGGAGTCATCGGGGTTTCCTTGACCCTACTGCAAAACCACAGTGTTTTTTTTTTTTCTGTACTCTTTTATGCGTACTTTAGCTGCTTAATATCTTATATCGCACAGTCATCAAGCCTCTCGTAAAAGTTGGGGCCCTAAGTTAGACATCAGTGCGCTGTACGCCGAACTGAAGTTTTGGGGTGTCGTACATGTGACAAGAAGTGTAAGCGTTATACCTTTTTTTTTTTTTTTTTTTAAGTGCACACCTTGCTTTTTAGTTTCTTATTCTTCTACAGTTGTGGGTAACTGCCCACAAAAGAACGTGTCTTAAAACGAGCAATCGCCATTAAGTCGCTGTTTGTCGCGTTCGTGAGACCATGCTCTAAGCGCTATTTGAACGTACGCAGCGTGCAATGAATTCGAAATATACCTTAGGCGTAGTGGAACTTTCTCGTAGGTCCTCGTCTAGCAAAGACATGGGAAGGGAAGAAGAGAAGGAAAGACACAGGTGAACTCTAGAACGGGAGGAAAGACATGCCTAATAGACAAGCGAAACAGAGAGGACGAGGGAGAAAATAGGAGAGGTAAAACCACAAGTATTCAAAGAAGGTTACTTCATCATTTCGAACACAGAGTAAAGGGCAAAGCTGTAGGTTACGTTTACCTGAGCTGGTACCTTGTACTGCACGGATTTCTCACCATCAATTTCGCTTTTGCTCAATGAGAACTGGTGTAAGTGACCACCAGCATCTTGCGATGATGTCAAACGCGAAGTCATTCATGGACTACTTTTAAAAGTCGCTCTACCACTCTGTTCACAGGCGACCTCGAAGCAGCGTCCAAAACGCTTCTGCACACAACAAAAAGTGAAAACCTATCTATACGAGAACTTTGAATAGGGCAACGTGTACGTCACCCTCGATTAGTGATTCAGGAGATCTTGAAACTTCTGCAATTGGCCACTAAAGACAGCACTGACCCTAGAAAAAAAAAATATTTATCTAGGAGGCGCAAGCCATCGCCTGATTAAAAGGGTTCAGTCGTACTCATCTATCCATCCATCCAAAATGATTAGGAGAAGGAAACAACGAAACAACGCTATATAGCACGCGTCACCGCGTGCTATATAGCATCGCGTTCGTTACGAAACACTGCAGATCTCATGCCGTAGCAGACTAGAAGGCCCCGACAGAATTAGAACGGCAAGGAGGTCTTCCAGCTGTCCCGCCTCCGGCGCGAGCTTCCTACACCTTCGTCAATGCTTCGGCGTCCCGTAAGCCTTGAGCGTGTGCGCGCAGTTATAAAGCACGGCGGAAGGCAGCGAGCGCACGCTGATGGAGCCCGGAGCGCCGAGAGAAACGCCCTGCCGTTCTCATCCTGCCAGTGACTAGTGTGTGTGGGAGGGGGGGGGGGGGGGGGGAAGAGCCGCGTGTAAACAGTGGCGCTCGGAACCAATAGTTCTCACCGCGTAAGGCACATTCACGGTCGTGACGGTGTCGTTTTCGGAGCCCGCTGACTGCTCTGCGTCGAAGTGGAAGATGAGCTTCTGCATGAAGGACACGGTGTCGTTCTCGTGGAAGGTGATGTTGTCCTTCACCCAGACCACGCTGAAATGACAGGTGAGCGTCGTCTTAGGAAGGTTTTCGCAGGTTCGAAACGCGACGCGCGAATGGCTCGCGTTCGGCAAGCTTCGTCAGACGACGCAGAGCAAGTGAGCGTTGCCCGTTCCCTGTACTGCTGGGTTTAACCCCCCGGTGGTACTCTATACACTACTACCCTATTTGACTACACTCTTCGGCTACACTTATTTGACTAGACTATTACACTCCACTCTACACTAACACTATTACACTCCGCTACTACACCACACTACTCCGTACCGCACAGAAAACAAAACAATTAGAGCTGTATCAGTTACTGCCAGTGCTAATGTAGTCATGTACTGAGCGGTTAGGATAATAACGTTTTACAGCGAAGCTGTTTATGGTTAGGGTTCCGTGGATCTTAGCCTCCTATATCAAACGCGTAGGGGGGGGGGGGGGCGCCCGGCCCCCCTGCCTCCCGAAATCTTCCATTGTGCTGGGACCTTCTCTCCCCCCTCCCACTCATAGAGCATTTTGTTGGGACCTTCTCCCCCCTGAAACAAAATCCTGGCTACGTGCCTGTCCTATTGACCTTTTCCACAAGGGCGCCGCCATCTTGATTTGTCGTCATTTCCAGTATGGGCGAAAACATTACTTTGCCGTCGCCACGCCAATAGAAGACATTTGGGATATAAGCCTAACCGTCACACATTCTCGTTTTGGCTCCCCTCTATTTTTTTACGGGTTACAGGTTGAAACGTTTTACTATTTTGTCGTCGCCCATACTGGAAGTGACGACAAATCAAGATGGCGGCGCCCTTGTGGAAAAGGTCTATATGCTGACAAAGCCTGGCAGATCGCCACCGGAAGCAGCCGCCGGAATGGGAAAGGTGGAGCAACAGACAACGGATGAGAGGAGAGCCGCGTGACTGGCGCCCCGCTGCGGCGAACCGCCGAAACACATTTCTCCCGAGCGAACAAGTGTGTTTCGGGTCCTCGCTGCGCTGCAAAAGCTGTCCGCTGACGTCCAGGTTCCCCGAGAAATGGCTCTTCGATGCTCTGTGCTACCAGATCCTCGCGCTCCAAATCTGCGAACGGGCACTCCTTGGCTCTGTCGTCGAACTGCCAGGCTTTGTGAGTATAGCGGAGGCTATGCGTGAAGCTTTCGTGTGCGCGACCAAAAACTCTACGCTCACACCGCCGCACGCGCCGGACGCAAATCAAAAGTCAAATTTGGGGGTTTTACGTGCCAAACCTACGACGTTCGTCTGGCACGCCCCAGCGGAGGACTGAGGATTAATTTCGACCACCTGGGGATCTTCTGACGTGCAACCGAAAGCTCGGTTACACGGCGCCTTTTCCGCAATAAGCCTCCGTCATATTGCGGGCACCTCGGTCGGGATTCGAACCCGCCACCTGGAGATCCGTAGGCCGGCGCTCTCGCCTCGGAGCCACCGAAGCGGCTACGCGCCGGACGCGCACGCCTTTCCCGTATAAAAGATTCGAAGTAAATGACCAAAATAAAACGTTGACGAACGCGCGTGCCAGATGCGATTTGTCTTTTGGCTTTTGCTTTAGAACAGTGACTGCTGCAGACGCCGGCAAGTGCAGCGCGTGCAACACCATTCCCCGCATTCTCCTTGATGCTTGGGTAATTTAGCAATAGATCTATTCAGTAGATTAGTTAGTTATCAACACGAACCATTTTCAAGATCAGTAGACTCTCGGGTAGATAATAAAGGTTTCTCAAAGATTTGCCGCTGTGCGACCCGCGTCGGCCATGTATACGCTCACACCGCCCTCTCTTTGTCGTCGTTTCAAGCCCCCGCTTGCGCGCCTAGTTTCGTTTCCTTCCGTTCTCCCGGGGTGGCGGTTTCGTCGCACGTGTCTAGGTGGCGTAAGCTACCGCCTGATCCAAAGAGCTCAGCCGTATTCATCCATCCATCTAGTTTCCTCCGGCTTTTCGGGGCGGGTCTGTGTCGTGGGCTAAACAGCTTCGTTGGTCATCTACCTTTACAGATTGGAATGGCTGACGATTTTTAAGTAGTTTGTACAATTCAGTTTTTTTTTTAGTACAAATGAACACATGGTTCTAGATAGGAACGTGCCGAGCGTTCGAACACGTCTGCAAACAGTTTTTGCGTGACCAATGTGACGGGATCGTCGTACACGGAAAGAACACCCCAGACATTGGTGTATTAGGAGTACGACCGCGGCTTGAGAGGCTTGTCTGCCTTGCAAAAAACCGAGTTTGCCCGTCGATCTACCTCCTCGCAACGGTTTGCCCGCACACCGCAGAAAGGAGGAAGAGCAAATGCAGCCTGCCCGTCTGTCCACTCACCGGTAAACGTAAGGTCCGAGCTCTTGTAGCTGAGGCTTCTCGCCCTTGGCGATCTGGCCGGAGTTTGTGACATTGAAGAAGTAGAACCTCGCCGAGGTGTCGAAGCTCGATCCCACGTCCTTCCAGGAGCGGAAGATCCGGGACCCTTCTCGCAGGGCCAACTCCTGAGAGAAAGGACGTCACTGGGATGTAAGGTTCGGGACGCTTTTAAACGAGATCTTCTACTTTGCACACGCAAAGCTTTCTTAAAAAAAAAAAAAAAAAATGGACAGTGAACATTTTGCTTAACTTCTACGAACGATACCGAAACCTCGAAGAATTCGTTTAAGTCTGTAAACAGTGATATACGTCTTTGCCGCGCAATCGCATATTTTCTTTCACATTGACTAATCACATTGCCCAAGTTTTTACGATTTCTAAGAGTATGTGTTTAGTTCAATGCTTTACTCATTGTGTACAGGTATTACAATTGTAGTTCATATATGATACGTCTTACTAAATCTTCGTGGTTTGAAGTAGGCTGTCACAGAGTATCGGAAAAAATTCTTCACTTGATCAAATAAAGACTGAATGATGAAAGCACGCTTCATATATCGTACGAATTGCTATATATGTTTAATGCCCCGTTCAAGAGAAATAGTTTTTTAAAGCATGAAACGCTTTCAAATGCTACCCCCAATCCCAAAGTCGTCTGTCCGTCAGTATATTTGCCGCTAAATTTAGCGAACAAAGTGGCGTCACCTGACTTATACACAACTTGGAAAAATTGATGGCACGTTACCTATACGTCATCTACGTTTCTCCGCTAAATTTAGCGGGAAAATTTACGTCTTGTGGCCAAAATCTAAATCCAGTATCCCCGCTAAATCTAGTGGGAAACTGATGTCACGTGGCCTATATGCCAGTGCAGTTATCCGCTAAATTTAGCGGGAAAACTCACGTCGTGTGACCTAGACACATAACCAGTTTCCCCGCTAAATTTAGTAGAGGAAATCAACGTCACGTGACCTGGCGTAACGTGACCTACACAACCATTCAGTTTCCCCGCTAAATCTAGCGGGAAAAAATACGTCACCTGACACACCAATTCCCTATAGTGCATTTCGTGTATTAAAGGACTAAAGCATTTTTTTTTCTTTTTTCATGTGCTCTGGAGCGCTTGAAAACACATCGTTATTTTTAATTACCCTTTCTTCTAATAGTTCACTTGATCGCCTTTCGTCGGCATCGAATGCATGGCACCATTCATGCACCCTAGTCTATTTCAATTTTCTATGAAAAAAACTCCGCCCGAATGTTTTGTTTTCAGGGACTACAAATACACGGTGTTTATTATTATATTGAAGTGGCTCCGATGGCTTTAGCGTTTTGCAGAATTTCGTTTAATGACTTCCGTGGCATTAATTTGTTGTTGATGTATTTTGTTGTTTTTTTCGCGCGATTGTAGATAGCGCGAAAAAACAACAAAAGACATCAACAACAAACATAACGCAACACCGTTTTGTGAGTACATAACGGTGTCGCGTTATGTACCCCTTTCCCCCCCCCTCGAAACGAAATCCTGGCTACGTGCCTGGTTGGTCCTTTTATGTCACCTCCGATTAATAAAATCGAAAGTGCTTGATTTAGCCGAGCATGATCTTTCATCACCGCGATTAGAGCGGCAATATTGGAGCTTTTTGGAAAGTTACAAGGGTCTACTGTAGGAAACTAACTCCTTGGAAGGAACTTGGAGGTGAACATTCCGCAACACTGGTTCACGGTGACAATTAGGCTGTGCTATGGATGTAGTGTAGTAGGTCAGCGTAACGTATTTTCTTTCCGATATATTTTTTTTCTCTGTAAAGGTTATGAATTATTACCTGATACTGACTGCTTGTTTTCACTCACAAGCCTGCAAGTGCTTTTGACAGATGTAATAGACCGGATAGGATTTGAGAGAAGCTCGAGATAAACCTATTAGACGATTACTTATTGTTAGAAATCGGCAAAACGACTTACATGACTGAGCAGCTCTCGGTAGGCGTCGTCCAGCTCGATCAGAACCACAACAGAGAAAGTACCCAGCAGCAGTGACGCCACACCGCAAATGACGCCTGGGAAGTGGACACCACAGATTGAATTATACCTTCGTTCAACCAACTGGGGTATGAAAAGCCATTCCGGCGCAAGTTGACACACATCGACCGACACACTGTTTATAAACAAGCCCCGCGTTTGCCCACACCGTGTGAGGAGCATTGCGCGTGCGCACAAACCACATTCGCGTGAGGAGAACCGTCTGCGCGTGCGCAATGCCAACAGCAGCGCCACCGCAGTCGTGTGACGTCAAGGGGTCGAGTTGGTCTACACCGGGCGTTTAAAAAAGAAATTAGAGCTTCGTTTTACAACGATAAACGTTATTGGTGAGGTTTCGCAGCGCATATCTAGTACTGGCGGTAAAGCGTTACTTTTTTCGGTAACGTAATAACGTACTCATTACATTTTTAAAGCAGTAACGGGTAACGTACCTACGTTACTTATTTCGAGTAACGGGTAACGTAGTAACGTCGCTCGTTACATCTTATTGAGACCTGTTTCCGTGTTTCTGTGAGTGTTCTATGGTAGCCAAACCAACCATAAACAAAACAGAAAAAAAAAAAGCCCCGTGACTTGCGCTTTCCACGCTGCTTGCTTGATACCATTAGCTCGTAGCGTAGGCTGCGTGTGGACTTAAAGGACCATTCACACACTCGCAACCGACTAGGACCGGCTGAGACAAGACCGGTCTTTAAGCCTCTTGAGACGACTTAGGTGACGGCGAGGTGAGCCCCAACGTGGCTCACCTCGCAGCGTAGGAAAGGAGGAGCGCTAAGGGGATTATCTTCCCTGCAGAGAACCGAGGTTGTATGTCGGCCTTTAAGCCGAAACGAACTATAGGCGCGAAGTCATTAATTGTTGTACTCATTTCACATTCCTTCACCATTTTCCTAGTCTTTTTCCCGCGCAAAAAGTGTCACTTTGGAAGAAGTACCCTTTGTCCTGGTGTCAAAAAACGCTGTCGCCAAAAATCAACAAGGCTGTTACCATTATAATGCAATTAAATGCAAAGGTGCATTTATAAGTTTATAAATAAAAAATAACGCAAAAAGTAACGTGCGTCACTTTTTATCGGTAACGGGTACCTTTTATTTTGAGGTAACGTAAATCGGTAACGCGTTCATTTACTTTGTAAGTAACGACTAACGTATTTTGCTTCTTTTTTTCGGTAACGCCTACAACACTGCGAATATCCCGGGTGTGCTTTGTGTACGTCGCATGGCTCGCTAAATTTAGTGGAAAATTTTATCCGCTAAATTTAGCGGGGAATAGCAGTGTCCCGTGAAAATATACGGCGTCACAGCAGCACGAGACGTAGCGTCATTCTCGTAAGTAAAATATGTTCTAGAGTGGTCACGTGACGTGGTCATGTGACCACTTGGAGTGACGTCACTTCCCTGTCGCTTTTGATGACGCATGTTACTTTCCTGACGATTCCTATGACGTCACTTCTGTGTCATTTTTAGGTTTTTTCTTTCCTCTGTAAGCCTTCGCAGGTAGGCTCTACTATAAGGGCGTCACGTAACATGATCACGTGACAAAATAACATCAGTTGCCTGTCGCTTTTTTGTCTATTTTTTCACAACTAAACCTATCAGCTATAACCTATTCCACGTTGAAAAAAAAACAAAAAAAAAAAACGTTTGCGAACAAAACGTTTATCTTGTTTTGGCGGTCAATTCAGGTCGGTGTTTGCCGTGCTTGTGGGAATAAGCAAAAAAAAAAGTTACTAGTGGCGAAACGTCGCGATGACGTGTACACAAGATTAAAGGAGAAAAGGCAAGAGTGAAATTGTCTTACTCGTCCTTCGGCTCCACATGTCTGCTTCGTGTCAGCGGCGTCCTATGCAGCATTCTTCATTGGAGTAGCCTGGAAGTGCGCTTCACCGACGACTTTGGAGCGCTGTTGAGGAGCCCACATCTGCGATTGCTGGGGAAAGAAACAACTGACGTCAGGTTTGGTTCCTTTTCTGATGAATGACAAAAGATACTTTTAAAAATGCCGACGAGGGTTCATAAACGGATACAAATAACAGTGCGGATAAGGTTATTCGTATCCGTAAGTAAGAACTAAGCGTTTTCAATATTACTCGGAAAATCTCTTCCCGCTATGTTTAAGTCTAGTAAAGTCTCGTTTACCAATCAATTTCTCCTCAACGTAATTATTATTCGGTCAGTTTTTTATGCAGCATAATGTAATGTAAATAGAACGCTGCTATTTAAAGACATTTTAAGACAAGCGATATTAAATAGATTCGAGCCTCTTAATATCAAAATAAAGAATTTAAAATTTCCGGTTCTTCGAAAAAAAAAAAAAATAAACACTCGACAACAAACCACGCAAATTACTTAACGAAGCGCGCTGTAAAATGTATTCGAAACATGTACAAGCGTGTATCCGATAAAACGTTAGCGGACACGTGAACGGTACAGTAAATATGTACGCGCGAAAAAGTAGTAGTATCAGTACAATAATGTCCGATCGACTTTGATTTAATTTTGCTGCAAGGTAACCTATTAGTGAAAAGACGGTGAGAGTGCAGGCGAGCTGGTGGTAGCTAATCATGTCGTATTACACCTGAGACTGCGGTGGAAGAAATCGGAAGAACTTTCAGTAGAAGGAACAGACACAGACACAGAGAACGTCTCTCTGTCTGTTCCTTCTACTGAAAGTTCTTCCGATTTCTTCCACCGCAGTCTCAGGTGACAACAGACATTGAGACGTTCTCTGTGTCTGTTCCTTCTACTGAAAGTTCTTCCGATTTCTTCCACCGCCGTCTCAGGTGTAATACGACATGAAGGTAACCTAAGCTGAAAAGGAGTCCGCCACACGTACAATGTACCTAAAAAAAGAAAATAACCTTTAGTTTAGATTAATGTCGCAACGCGAAGTTTTAGGCACCCATTCTCTGAACCCTTCGAGTGATTGAGAAATAATGAAAACTGCGAAGTCCTCGAACAGACACCAAAAGAAAACCGGATCCGTCGTTGCAGCTCACAGTCCCCGAGGGTACAACCTCGCGCAGTTTGAAAATTGTTCGACAAGCTTTGCAGAGTACCCTTTTAAGCCGAGCGCAGCACTACCAATCTCCACAGCACCCCAAAGCAGACCGAAACCGCGTCAAGCTGCCCTACCTGGCACGCAGGCTGCGTAGGTGTGGTCACTGGATGAATGGAAACACACACACACACACATACACTCGAGTGAAAGGAAACGTGGTCAAAGCCGGGACTGTCACACTGCGTGACGTTATGCGAAAAGAGACGCGCGTAAGACTGCGGGAGCTTCCCCCACTTGCAGCGCGGAATAAAAAAAAAGCGTTTCCCAATGACTTTCCTTCACGGCACAGCGGCTTAGACGAGGTGGAGCCCGCCCCCATGACAGTCGGCAATTGACGCTTTCCCTGGAAGCATTAGTAGCGAACCGTACAAGACTACGTATGGGTAGTAAAGTACTATCTATAGGTTGTAGGAGGAAACGTTCCACTTCGTATTATTAATATTTCTTCTTTATCTTTACTGCACCGAGACGGCGAAGAGCACGAGCAACGCTCACAATGTGTACCGAGTGAATACGACGAAGAAGGTTTCGTCATCAACCCTTTCAGCTGCCGAGAGTCGAGATTATCTCGTCACGGCGAGTTTCGGCCCACGACTGGGGCGACAACGAGATAACCCCGTCCCGACACTTTTCGACGGCTAAAAAGGAATTCCGCGAGGATTTCTTTTGTCTTTTTAACACCTAAAGTGTTTCGTCGGCTGATATCTGAGAAACGCTCGTGACATGACGCGACGTGACATGTCATGCGACGCCATGATAGCCTCATATTGAGGTAGAATTGATTTGAGCAAAATTAAACCAACGAGGCAATAGAACGTCATGATTCCGATTCTCTGAATCGCTCCTTTAGCTTAGTAAACGAATATTTATGCGCAAACTTCGGGACGATCTCTAATCGAAATGCTCGAGTTAGCGCAGGATTCGTGCCCGTGGCATTCCTCGGGGTCTGTGGTGGATAATGCAGCTTTTTTTTTTTTTTCTTTCTTTGGTTACAGGCGAAGCATAGTATTTTATTCGAAACTCCGTCCCATTTTACGTGGTAGGGGCACGTCTTAGATTCGTCGTTTCTTCGCATAAACTGTTCCAAAGCAAGAGCCGACCGCTAACGCCATAACGCCGGCGACCCGGCGATCGGCGCTCGCGTTCGAACATTTAGTATAGAGACCATCCTGGTATAGAGACAAAGCCAGTTAGCTGCGCGTATGCCCACTAATTGACACAGTGGCAGGATGTCAGGCGCGATCGTGGGGTCTCAGCGTTTGGGTCGGTTCCAGTTCTATAGCGTTTGAAACTTCCTTTGTTCTTTCGGGGGGCTTTCAGGCGAAACAACTCTAGTTTTGAGTGACGCAAACGCGAGTGAGAGCCCCAAGGTGAGAGCCCCTGTCCCTCTGAAACTTGGCAAAGGGTGAACGATGAGCCTCATATTGCGTGCCGACGGCATCGATATGGGCTACGTATATACGAGCGCAACGCACAGATATTGGAGCATGACTCAGCGAAAAGCCAGATACTTCTTCGCAGTAAAAGCTCACTCCGGTGATACGTAGTCACGTTCCGATTGGCCCACCAGGGCCGTAGCTTGCGCCGTATGGCATGTTATGCAATCGCTGTTTCCTGGCCTACCCAGTGTTTCTTGCTTCAGACACTAGGCTAGACTGCGCCACCAGAGTAATAGCTCGTGTTTGATCCATGCAGCCGCCACTCCCAGGCATACCCGATGTTTCTTGCTTCAGTCGCTATACAGATAGCGCCAAACCAAACAGCAATCCTTTACCTTCGAGGAGGATATCGAACTTTCTCGTCGACCGCTTGCAGAGTGTCTGCTATGAATGCGAATCTTCATGTCAAGGGAAAGTAAGATCAAGAGTACCACAGGGAACCGTGCTGGGTTCATTACTTTTCCTTTTATACATAAACGACTTGTCCGCAACTATCCAGTCTACCATCCGTTTGTATGCCGATGATTGTGTGATTTATAGAAAAATATCTAGCGTTCACGATTGTATTGAACTTTAAAACGACTTAATTAAAATTGAAACATGGTGTCTAAAGTGGAACATAAATATTTCAAAAACAAAATTTCTAAATTTTAGTACTAAGCGAAGTCCAGCTGACTTTAACTACACTCTCTTCGATGGAGTTCTTGAACATGTGCATACATATAAATATCTTGGGGTTTATTTCACATCAAACATATCTTGGGAAGCCCAAATCAATCATATAAGTCCAAAAGCAAATCAAAGCCTTGGTTTTCTAAGACGAAATCTTCACATGGCGAACTGGGAAACAAAGCTTGTAGCATATACTACCCTGATTAGATCTCAACTCGAATACGCTTCGATAATATGGAATCCACATCAGCTTTGTTTGACACAAAAACTCGAATTAGAGCAGAACAGAGCCACACGCTTCATTTTTAAAAACTACACGCGTACAAGCATTACCTCACTAAAGGAAAAACTTGGGCTACCACCTCTTGCAGACAGAAGGAAAATCTCAAGACTTGCATCATTACATACTTTGTATTACCACTGCCCATCGAAGAGAGAACTGTATCGCCGGGCTGCACCACATATTTCCGCGCGTACTGACAATTCGCAGAAACTCCATTTGGTCACTCCACGAACGAACCTCTTTAAATTTTCACCATTACAGTTAGCTTCAGACGAATGGAACTCTCTTCCTGATAATATTGTAATCATCCAAGAATCCTCTGCTTTCAGAGATTCTCTTAATACTTACTTATACGCATAGCAACCGTAGCACCTGTTTTCTTGTTCTATTTCTTTTATGTTTGTGTTTTGAATAATGTTGTACTTGCCCCCCCCCCCCCCCCCCCCCCCCCTTTATGTAAAGCCCTACGGGTGCTTTAAGGGTATAATAAATGAAATGAAATTCGGTGTTTTGCGAGCCTCGAGCATGCACGCGCATGCTAAAGCACGACAAAAGGCAACGAACGGTGCGTTGCTTTCTGTCGTGCTTTGATATGCGAGTGCGTTGCTTGATACACGAACGCATCAAGCAACGCACACGCAAAAATTCGATTTTCTCGCTCGTTTCCAACGGCCTTTTTTAAAAAGCCCGCGCCAACGTCTGTCCGCCATTGCTCGCTCAAATGAGCATGTTGGACAGGAGTGTGACGTCAGCGTTCGGCGAGGTGTCGGATCCAATCACGCACTACGTTTCCAAGAAATGGCGACCACCAATGTTGCTCGATAAACTTTTGAATAGAATACACTACCGTGTTTCAACTTGGCGGTACGCGTTCATGTGACGCTTTGACCTACGTGACGCCGTAAAGTCACGTGACAGTAAATTTCCCCTAAATTTAGCGGAAAACGTTTTCCTGCTAAACGCAATGAAAAACACTACCGAAAAAATTTTCGCGCTGTATTTAGGGAAGTTTGCTCCTTAAAGTTTAGCGGGCCACGACGTATACACGACGTACAGAGTATGTAATGCATCACTTGTATCTATAGTTACTATTCTGGTAACCTAGTCATAAGTAACCTAGATACCTAGAAATTTAGTAGCCTTGTTATAAGTAACCTCTTACCTAGCAACCTATTTATAAGCAGCCTAATTAGTTATAAAAGAAGAAACAACTAGTACATCTTCGTTGCGTTTTGATGAAGTAACGAGTGACGGTACTGAGTTACTTGCGGAGGCGAATGTGTACAACGCAAGCAGCCAGCCTACTCTCTCACCCCAGCTCGCGCCTACAATTTTCACGACGAGAAGACGCTTGACAGGCCTTAAAATGATGTGTGAAAGGAACGTCAGTATAGCCAAGTTGTTCTTAAATGAACGCGTTAAGAAGCGAGAAATTATTTCCGGCGACAAATATTATAAACGGTATACCATTTCAT